TCGACTTCTCCACAAACGACTACCTCTCCCTCTCGCGCTCGCCCGACCTCCGCGCCCGCTTCCTCGCGCGCCTCGCCGCCGCCCCCGACGTCCTCGGATCTGGGGGCTCGCGCCTGCTCGTGAACGGACACGCGCACGCGGCGTTAGAGGCGCGTCTCGCGGGCTTCTTCCGCGCGCCCGCCGCGCTGCTCTTCAACTCCGGGTTCGACGCGAACGCGGGCTTCTTCGCGTGCGTGCCGCAACCGGGGGATGCAGTCGTGTTCGACGAGCACATCCACGCGTCTGTGCACGATGGGGTGCGCGCATCGCGGGTGGCCGCGCGGGTGCCGTTCGCGCACAACTCGATACCCGCGCTGCGGGTGGCGCTCGAGCGGTTACGCCAAGACAGGCCGGCGTTGGTGAGCGGCGGGAGCAGCGTGTTCGTCGCGGTGGAGACGTTATACAGCATGGACGGGACACTCGCGCCGCTGCTGGAGATCGTCGAGACCGTGGAGGAGCTCTTCCCGCACGGGAATGGGTACGTGGTCGTCGACGAGGCGCACTCGACGGGGGTGTACGGTCCACAAGGGAGAGGGCTTGTCGCGGCCCTTGGGTTGGAAGACAGGATATTCGCGCGCCTGCACACGTTTGGCAAGGCCCTCGCAGCCACTGGAGGTCAGTCTCTATGTTCCGCGTTATACGGGTGACTGACTCGACTTGTGCGTTCAGCGATTTTGCTGGTCACGCCGCTCGTGCGCGACTACCTGCTGAACTACGCACGGCCACTTATTTACACCACGTCCCTGAGCAACGCGAACATCGTCGCCGCGGAGTGCTCGTTCGACATGCTGGAGGAGGGCGAGGCACAAAAAGTACGCACTCTCGTCCCATACACTACCGGCGCACTAACACCACAGCAGCTCTCCACACAACTCCTCAGCCTCTGCTCACACTTCACGAATTCTTTCACCGCTCAGCTTGCCGCGCGTCGCATTCCCCTATCCCTCATCTCCATCCCCACAGAGCTCGCCGAGCTACCGACGCCGATCATTCCCGTCCTAACCCCGCATCCGCGGCCGCTTTCCGCGCATTTGCGGGTGCGCGGGTTGAATGCGCGACCGATTACGTGGCCGACGGTGCCGAAGGGTGCGGACCGCGTGCGGATCTGCCTGCACTCGCAGAACTCGGTCGAGGAGGTGGACCGGCTGGTGAGCGCGATGATCGAGTGGGCGGAGAGCTGGCAGGCGGCGCAGGACGCTGTCCAGAGGGAGAAAGGGAGCGCGGGCGCGGTGGTCGTCGCGCAAGCAAAACTTTAGAGAAGGAAGAAACGTAGAAGTAAGCATTAAAAAAATCAAGCGGACATCCGGAGAGCACGAACCTGTACGCGCTAATCTTGCAATGCCTCGATCTCCTGTGCGCTCATCTGCAAGTATTCTTCATACGAGTCCTGGTAGCCAGCTGGGCACAGCTCGCTCAATCCGGCTCTTGATTAAACGGAATGCACTGTAATAGACGCACCTGGCAGCTTCGCGCGCGCCCTGTAGCGGGCTACAATCTCGCGGTTGTGACGAATAGCGGCGAGCTGTGCCTGCTTTATTGTGCCTGCAGATCCCCTCAGTCGCGCTCCCGCTCGCCGCAGTCCAGGGAATAACACATACCGGAGACGTGCACGACATGGGGGACATACCTGCGCCCGTCGACGGCGGTCATCAGGGCCACACCCGCCCACGCGATCTTGTGGGGCTCTCGCGCAACGCGTATGATGCAGAGGTTCGTCCGCGGCGAGAAGTACTTGACTGATGGGCGAGGTGTTCGCAGTGATCAGTGACTGCCGGGAACGGATGTGAGAATGAACGTACTCGTCAGGGAAGACCCCACCGCACCCCAGCCTGTGTCCCCAAAGTGTGTGATGATGCTCTGCTTCAGCGCGGCCCATATCTGCTTGCTCGTGAGTTCGTGTTCGGGCTGGCCTGCGGGCGCGCGTCCTGGCAGGGGGGCGGGTACCGGGAGGAGCTCGACGAGGAGCCAACGGTTCTATCGCAGCACCAGAGCTACGTCAACATGATACGTGCAACATAGAGAAGATGGAAACGCACCTTGAATCTAACCATCGTCCACGCAGGTGGTTTGGCAAAGTTCCGAGTGTACTGAGGGCCTCGGAAACGGTTGGTGATGGCGGTTCCAGCGCAGTTCGAGCTCAATCACACCCCAGAAACTCAATTACACCCGCAGAGATCGGATTTCAATGACCGCAGCGTGCCCTCGGATGAGCATCGAGAGCTAGGATGATCGCGGGAGGAGAAAGGATTGCAGGTCAGTGGAAGCGCCTGCGCGGAGACTGCTGAGCCTCCAGATCCAGATCTCGATCAAGCACCAAGTTCGCTGTATTTAGGTGTAGACACGAGCGAGGTAGAGTTGTGGATTACACAGTACAAGACAGAGGGTGCATAGTGGGGAAAACGATGTACAACATAAGGCGAGTACATACAAGTCTACATCGACGGGTTTGCCAGGATGGCCCGAATATGATATGTGAGTCCGTTCCCATAGATAGTATGCAAATGCACGGCACCGGTACCGCGTGTGGGTCGTAAGGGAGTGACTGTGTCGTAAGGAGTGTGTGCCCATAAGCCAGGAAAAGGAGAGGTCCGAGACGAAGAGCCGCGGCGGCGACTCCGACTTTCACGGAGATCTTACGTGGAGGGTTAGGGGTACACGCGTCTACGCTATCTAGCCGGTGCACCCAGCCTTCCTACGCTCACTCTCACTAAGCCTCCCTCCTCTCTCATCCGCCCGTTGTCTGTTGCACGCTCTTCGTTAGTATCATGAAGCCTCCCGTGAACGACGTCGCCCACTCACCCAGCGCTCGCGTCCTCAGACGTTCGTCCGCCTCAACCTGCGCACGCAAACGTTAGCTCTGCGAGATCGACTCTACGAACTCAAGCTCACCTATCAGCGCATCGACGCCCGAGCCACCGCGGTCAGCGAGTACGAGCAGGAAGAGAGGAGAGGAGCACCGGGTCGTCGGATGGACACCTACTCCTCGTCCTTCGCTCTCTCTTATACCTCCTCAGTTCCGGGCAGGCCCCCGCCTCAGCACCCTCCACGGACAAATGTACGTACATCCTTCCCTATTTGCCCTGGCAACCTGCTGCTCGGTACGCCCGTCGTCCGTCGTCCTCTCGCGTACACGCCTACGCTTGTGCGGGCTAGAATCTGCTAGATGAGCGCCGGGCGATGCACGATGTGCGTTCCGCGATAGCACCGCCGCCCCACCCATCTCCGATCCTGGTCCCAGCCGCGTAGTGTGTGCCTTTGCGCATCTGTCGTCTTGGGAGCCATCCCAGGGGCAGACTCGGAGCGTCGTGTCGTCGTGCTATGTGAGGCTGGTCGCGAGGTCCGACACGGCGGTCGCGGATCTGACTACATGGACGCGTAGAGCGGCACGCCATGCGCGGCGAGAGGCTGCTGCATGCCGAGTGGGCGAGAGCAGCGGACGCGGCTGGACGCGGCGGGACACGTTCCACGACGATGTCCCCACGTCGGGCGATGCCCGTGCTGTCGAGTTCGCCCCGCCCCACAGCGTGCGCCGGTGGGCGGCGCTGCCCGTACTACTTCCCTCCCATCTTTCTGCTGTATCCTGCATGGCAGGGATGCGTTTTGTACTACGACGTTATTCATTTACATGCACGAAATAGGCCACGATGTGCGCGCCGTCGTCTCCTTTGCTGTGTACAGCGCGTGTCATCCGCAGTAGTCCCCACCGCGCGCATGTTCAGAACGCCCGCCCATCGACCAGCAAGCCGACTTACGGAAGATTCAGACGGTCGTGCGCGATCTGCAGTCGCGGTTAAGGCCTTCGCGCGCGCGCTGTACCGGCGCCGAGGTGTACTCGGGCATCCCGCGCTCCACCCTCGCGCACGGACGTTCTCTGAGTAGGCCCACAACGACGCCTAGCCAGAAGCTAGCAGCCCCGTTTGCGGCGTGCAGAACACGCCCCGGCGCACGGCACCGCCGCCGATGTGCGCTGACCACCGATCCATGCCGTGCACGGCCGTCAGTATCCTTTGCGACGCCTCAAGTTCGTCAGCTCCAGCACGCGAGGAGCAAAATCCATTGCCTTCGCCGTCTCGTCGAGCCGGGACTGGGTGTGGGGGTGTGGGATACACGCCGCACTCTGCATCGTGCGTTGAACGCCGCACCCATGAATCCAGTGTGCGCACCGTACCTTTGCTCGGAGGCGTACAGACGATCTGTATCGGCCGTGTGCGTCGAGTACCGTCGCTGCGCTCGAGCTGTACCGCTAAAGTGGAGGGCTCGTGTCGCGCTCGCGCCCGTACAAAGTCCCTGTGCATCACGATAACTCCGCTGTTGGCAGCGGGCCAAGCTGGTGCGTCGAATACCCCTTGGAAACATTCGCAAAGTTAACATTTTCTGCCAGTGCCGAATGAACACTCCCCGACTCATGTCCGTTTACCGCCGTTAGCTAACACGTCTAGGATCCCAGCGAAAGCCTCGCACACACCGCTCTTGGGCGTACGCTGTCGCCCTCGCGCTGTGGCATGCCGCGAGGTATGCAGTCCCGAGCAGCTCCCGCCCCAGCCTTTCTGATCTCTGGTGCACACCAGCCAGTGGGGACTCGATAATCGCTATGCCTCTGTCTCGCCGACCTCGACCCGCGCCATCCCAGCACCTCATTCGTTGTATGGAGATCCCCGCACCCATTCGACGGGTGCAGCCACCGACGAAGCCCCAGGCACATCCATGCAGAACGCGCAACGGCGCGACACGACGGGCGGACCGTCTCAGCACGGTCCCGCACGCTCTCCCGCCGCCAGCCCTCGCGTGCATGTCTGCAGCGATTGCGTCCCCGCGTCCCCGGAAGAGGCCTCCTCGCACGTCTGCGGCTCCCGGCGCGCCCGCGCATTCCACATGGCCGTCCCCCCAGGCATGTCGTCACCGCGGCCGTTCACACACACGACGCACCGACGTCCCCGCACCCTCTGGACCCGTTTTCGAGCGAATCCGGAGAGGTCGACCTTTTTGCCCATGTCCGCGGCCCGGGCGCCTATCGCACTCACGCACAGTATTTCGCCCCTCCTGCCTTAACGCTGCCCCGGGCGCCCTCAAAACCGCGACGGTCATGTGCAGCGTACCGCCGCGCATTGAGCCAGCAATGTCTCCGCGCGGGGGGCGCAGGAAAACGCGGGCTGTGCCCGGATATGTTGTTTTCGCGAAAACACAGAATCGAGCACTGCGCTTCGCCATCGTCGACCCCCGCGGCGGCCGTGCACCAACGCACTGCGCGGACGCCGCTGCGCCGTCGTGCGCAGTTTGGCGCGCATCGGACGGGGTCGACGTTTTTGTCCATGTCTGCGCCCGCCTGCCCCGCGCAGAGATTCGTCGCTCCCACCGCGGCATCGTCCCCGACTCCGTCGAAACCGCGATGGCACGGTGCTGGGCGGTGCGGCGCATCCGTACATCACGATCTCCCCGCAGGGGATGCAGGAACACGCTCGCCATGTCCGGATGTGTGCGGGCGCCGGCCGCGCGGGGGCACAAAATTGCGGATTGCGCCTCGCCATCCGCGAATTCCAGGGCGTCCGCGGGCCCACACGTCACACGCGTCCCGCCGCACCCGCTCGCAGAGGTACGCGCGGATCCTGCGAGGTCGGCCGTTTTGTCCATGTCTGGTGCGACCGCACCCCGCGCGCAGAAACGCGCGCGTTCATGCCCCCCAGGCGCCCCGCCTCGGCAACAGGCTGACGCGATGGACGAGGATGGTTGCCCTGCGCGCACCGAGACCACTCGCGCACACGCCGGCAGACTCCTAGTCCGCCACCTCCCGTTTCAGGCTGCTGGCGTGCGCCACGAGCGTGGACTCCGCCTCGCATCGACACCCGCATCCGACGATGTCTCTCGGTCGCAGCTAGGGTTGCACACGTCGCCAGGGGACTCGTTAGCTGCCGGGGCATTGCCATGGCGCGGCCCTCCGCCTCGCTTCGTACGCTGCCGTGGCGCGTTCTAGCAACGTTGGCGTGCCTTTGTTCTGGAGCGTACAGCCGCGAAGGGCCTGCCGTCGCCTCGCGCTGGTTTACCTGTGACAGATGTGGGGAGCGGAGTACGAGACGTCGGGACTCGTCATATGTTCGCTGTCTGGCCTCCGCTCGCGCTCTCCCGGCAATTGGTGTTTGCACATCCTGCGTCCGTATCCGCGAGACTAGTGTCTGTAAGAGTATGCTGGGCCCCGTTCCTACGAGCCTGTATTCGTATCGCGTACCTTCAATATATCTCGTTACACCACAGGCGTCGTGCATGAGCACAAGGGCGGCGATTACGAGCGCAAACACAGATTGCCGGTTGCCAGAGCCAGCTGGCGTGTCCCTGGTTGTAGGCGTGCTTCTCGACGATCTCGCGAACGGTGTTTGTTATTTCTCGGGTCGCTCTGCTTGTAGTTCAGGCAAAGACCGTGTTGCGCGTTCGCGAGAGCTACCCGACAGATAGGGACCCGCCCTTCCGATCTGTTCGCGTGTCTCATGCGCGCGGCTCTGGCATGGCTTTCCGCGTGGTGGTCTACAGCGCGGAGCGGCGTCGTCGACGGGCGAGGAAGTAAATATATGTTTCCGAACGATATACATGAATGTAGATGTAGGAATACAGCTCGAGAACGGGAGCTTCACTCGTCGCGCGAAAGGGGACCTACGGGCCGCAGCGAACTGCCGATGGCAAAAGACGTGCTCGCCCGCATACGCCGTCTACGCGCCGGCAACTGGAACGGCAGTAGACGGCGCACCGTCCGCGGTTTTGACGCACGCGTCGGTCGGGACGAAGGCGGAGTCGGTTGAGGAGAGTCTGGACGGCGAGGCGGATCTTCCACGATCTCCCATTCTCGAAGAAACCGCGTTTCCCGGGAGTGGATGTACACGCTCACCGAGGGAACGTGGGCGGCACATTCTGATGCATCTTGCGACGTCCTGCTGTGTTATTCTAACCGACAGCGCCGTGCAACGACGCTCTATGCGGATTCCAAAGCCCGGAGATGTCGCCACTGTTAGGATGGTGCATGGGAATCGTGGCGTGACCGGGTGGTCTCTGTACGTTGGTCAATAACTCTGCTTGCTGCCCCTGAGTCGATTGACGTACACTGTAGCTGCAGCCGCAATCGCATGCTCTGAAGGTTGACTAGTAGGCGAAATATTTACTCCATTTGAAATCAGTGGCCGTAGACGCGGCTTCACCGACCTCCGGGAGGCGTATGCCCTAATTCCTGCTCGAGACTGACTCCTCAACACTCGAAACTGTGTCACACAGCCATAGGACGTCTTCCGCCATCGCCCGCACGAGGAGGCACGCATACGTCTCGTCGCGAATTCTGGGAGGATCTAGCGCGCGTGATTGAGAAAGAGCCGCTCACCTGCGACACAGGCTGATCATCCGAGGTGGCTACATCAGGCTGGATTTGAGTACCTACCGACAGCTACGTGAGTGCCAGCCAATCGGCCAGGCTCTCGCAAAGTATTAGCCCTGACAGGAGGCACTGTGCATAGAATGATTGTGAAGTCAGCCCCACGATCGGGCTCGATCTAGCAGCACAAGACTCACCCGTCGCGTCGTGGCTCGCGTGGTACACCGGCGTTGGATGTCGGCCATTGACGCAGGTGGGCAGTCGGTAAACATTCAACGACCTAGACCCGGTTGCACAGGACGACTCAAAGGGTGTGTGCATGACAGTCCCGCTCGCCCGGTCGCCGATGGAGACGTCGGGTTGCTAGCAACTAAAACATCCCGGTTAGCAAAGCAGTGGCGGGATGTGAGAGCGCACATACGTAGCACAATCGCGTGCCGCCGCAGGTGTGCGCAACCTTGTGATTCGCGATCTTGACAACGCACGGTTAACGTACGTCGCTGGGCACACCTCGCAGTCTCGATCATGACAACGTGTCCCACTCGTATTCGGAGCATGCAGCGGGAGAATTTGACCGTGGAGCGTGGTCGGTGTACTGTGAATCACGGAGAGGCTCGCCATAGTGTGTGGGATGCGAGCCCGGACATGCTGAGGAAGTACAGAGACGCGCGCTGTAGCATGCCGACAGCACCAGAGGTGCGGACGAGGTAGAACAGGCGAGGCGAGGCGGGGATGTGGGCCGTCTTCGACAATGTCCGAGCCACATCCCGCGGACATCTTCCGCACAACGAGTGGACGACGCGGCAAGCAGCGTGCCGAGCTTGTTCCATGCGGAGCTTGTTGATTCCACACTCGAGAGCGGCGCTTCCCACAATCCATCTTCCCGATGTGCCTTCGCTGAGAGCGGTGGAAAGCCTCGCAGTCAGTAATAATTTCGTAAAGCGACACAATAGGTGATGGGGCATACCTATTGGTCTCCTACGCCGGTGCATCCTGTGAGCGCCGTACTACGCTGCCGCCGCCAAATCCAGGTACGGAATGCACGCCATGATACCCGTCGGGCTGATGGTGTATGCATACGATGTACGCGGGCAACTCAGATGCCAGGCGTCGGAATAGATCCAGTGAGCTCCACACCGATGACAATGAGCGTACAAGCTGTGCACTTCGGAGGCCGACGCCGTGGGCAAGCATGTACCACTAACAAACAACTTTGACTCACCTGGAACCACGATACACCCTTCCCGAGCGGAATACACGCATGGAAGAAGCATGCTCACGCACGGAGAAGGAACCACTACCAAGGGAAGGCTGCCGCCGTGAGGCGATCGGCTGATGCGTCGTAGCATACGAGTTAGCGAAGAAAGAACAGAACAGCACGGTTGCATACCTGCGATTACGCAGCATCTGCGTAGGCGTTGCCAGCAGGCAACACGGTGATGCGAAACGGTCGAGCTTGGCTGATTCCTAGATTTGGAGGCTCAAATTGAGCGGGATTGCCTATTGGTACAGTACACAATGGACGTACTCTTGGGTTATCTGTTCCTCTTGGGAGCCGGTATACATTGCTTGTCGCTCAAACACAGACGTGCGAGTTCCGGATGCGTGTCGCAGAAGGGGGGACTAAGTTCTGTGTCCGTCGACTAGACGAACCATCCCCTCGCGGCGGAAGATCCCGGAAGGCGGCTGGGCAACCAGGGCTTATCGATTTGAAGTCAGGCTCTGAGAACGATCTGGAACGATACGAGACTCACCGTAGGAAAGTGCCATACATGCGGCGCAGTACAACGTACCATGACCGCCGGTAAATGCGTTTCTCGTATGGTATTTGTGCTAGGCGAGCGGCGGGGACCTTGATTATCGCGTATGCCAAGTTCACAGCGTTTCTAAGCTCGAAGAAGTGTCCATGTACGATCGTAACGCCGAACAATGCTTTCCGTAACAGCGCCCGCCCCGTCGATCGAAATCCAGGCACGTTGGTGGCTGGAGCGCACCAGTTAGCGGCGGAGCGGTGGGACTTAACTGCGCAGCTTGCTTACAATATTCTCATGCAACTGGCGATGCCGTGCGAGTCGTCCGGGTGTACAGGCGTCGGGTGGTCCGGTGTACGCTCTAGATCGCGGTGCACAGCCCTATGCAGCTTCAAGTACGATACCTCCAAACCTGACTCAAAGTCCCGTGTGTCATAGGTGCCATGGACTACGGCGTGGCGTCGACTTCCCCTCGTAAACTGGGCCTGTTACTTGAAGGAGCGGGTCAGCGTATTCACGTACATCTGCAATGTGCAGCACTCGTCAGTCACGAAAAGACTGGGTGGCGATGCTGACGAAAGGGCCGCATAATTTCAGGCCGTGTGAGCGCAGTCTCGGTGACAACCGCACGACCAGAGACCCACCGCGGTACGGATATGAGTGACTCGGCGCAGAGATTGGAAGATCTCAATTTGACGACGCAGTGCCGCGCGACCGGCAAAGCAGCTTTGAAAACCTACGTGTTAAAAATGATTCAGGCGCCGCAGCAACCCCGAAATTCACCGTGATCCCTTCCGCAAATGGCACAGGCCATGTGCGCTCAGGCAGCGCTAGCAGATACTCGCGAAGTACGCTTGCGCAACAGGAACGCACTTGAACCTCGAGAGGAGTAGTGGGATCTACCGTGAACACGACCGGGCCTCGGGAGGAGCTATGTGCACAGATGAGCCATCGTACTTTCTGTGTAGAGATCCATAACAAGGGATCGTCGTAGACCGCCACTCACCCGTTGTACAGACGGCCAATTCCTTGACCAGTTGATCGACCAATTCGAGCATTATACTGAAAGTGAGCGTCAAACGTCAAGGGCCCCGGGGATAGGTACCGAGCATTGAGGCAGCACGACCATCCGGATACAGCGTGAATGAATGTGGGCGGTGCACGCTTGAGAGCTCCTATTCGAAACAGACACGATCAGCCTGGGCCCGATGGAAAGAAGCAGCCGAAATTGCTCACCGCAATGGGAGGCGACCACGGCGCCGGGCTAGCTGCGCATCCCAGACCCCTTCTGGTATATTCGAGACG